CAGAAAAATGTACAGAAGAATGAAAGGCATCACCATGCATTTGCTAAAGGGAAGCATGTTTCTGTGAATGTACCCTAAAGTTAAAGTATCATCTGCTTATATTTTGCTTTCCCTGGCTCCTTCTTTCCAATCTGATCAACATGTTTAATAAACTATTAAATAAAACCTGTTTTCATTGCATACTTTATTTTAGACCCAAAGATGACATCAGTGAGCCTCTGTGGTTCTCTATGCAATGCAGGCAGAATATAATTGGTGGGAGGGGCTGGCAGGAAGCTGTACATGGCTTGCTGAAAACAGAAAGCTGTAGTCATGGCCACATGTGATGCTGTGCCTAATTTCATTGTAGGCTGCCTCAGCATTATGTTGCCCTCAAGGGGCTGGCTGTATCTGTAAAACTATGCATCTACTGAGATACATTGGAGTACTAAGGAGTATATGGTGTACAAAGTGCAGAATTCAGACGTGTGCCATGTAAACAGCACAGGGTTTGGGGGGGGGGGTACATACAGGAGTGTAGGGTTCAGGAGTACACTATGTACAGAGTGCAGGGTTCAGGAGTACACGAAGTGTAGAGTTTAGGAGTATGCTATGTACAGAGTGCAGAGTTCAGGAGTATACTACATACACAGTGTAGAGTTCAGGAGTACACTACGTACAGAGTGCAGGGTTCAGGAGTACGCGTAGTCCAGAGTTTAGGAGTATGCTATGTAAAGAGTGCAGAGTTCAGGAGTAAACTAAAGGAGTACAGAGTGCAGAGTTCAGGAGTACACTACGCACAGAGTGCAGAGTTCAGGAGTACACTACATACAGAGTGCAGAGTTCAGGAGTACACTAAATACAGAGTGCAGAGTTCAGGAGTACACTACGCACAGAGTGCAGAGTTCAGGAGTACACTACGCACAGAGTGCAGAGTTCAGGAGTACACTACATACAGAGTGCAGAGTTCAGGAGTACACTACATACAGAGTGCAGAGTTCAGGAGTACACTACACACAGAGTGCAGAGTTCAGGAGTACACTACACACAGAGTGCAGAGTTCAGGAGTACACTACGCACAGAGTGCAGAGTTCAGGAGTACACTACATACAGAGTGCAGAGTTCAGGAGTACACTACATACAGAGTGCAGAGTTCAGGAGTACACTACACACAGAGTGCAGAGTTCAGGAGTACACTACGCACAGAGTGCAGAGTTCAGGAGTACATTACGCACAGAGTGCAGAGTTCAGGAGTACACTACATACAGAGTGCAGAGTTACTACATACAGAGTGCAGAGTTCAGGAGTACACTACATACAGAGTGCAGAGTTCAGGAGTACACTACACACAGAGTGCAGAGTTCAGGAGTACACTACACACAGAGTGCAGAGTTCAGGAGTACACTACGCACAGAGTGCAGAGTTCAGGAGTACACTACATACAGAGTGCAGAGTTCAGAGAGTGCAGAGTTCAGGAGTACACTACATACAGAGTGCAGAGTTCAGGAGTACACTACATACAGAGTGCAGAGTTCAGGAGTACACTACACACAGAGTGCAGAGTTCAGGAGTACACTACGCACAGAGTGCAGAGTTCAGGAGTACATTACGCACAGAGTGCAGAGTTCAGGAGTACATTACGCACAGAGTGCAGAGTTCAGGAGTACACTACACACAGAGTGCAGAGTTCAGGAGTACATTACGCACAGAGTGCAGAGTTCAGGAGTACACTACATACAGAGTGCAGAGTTCAGGAGTACACTACATACAGAGTGCAGAGTTCAGGAGTACACTACATACAGAGTGCAGAGTTCAGGAGTACACTACATACAGAGTGCAGAGTTCAGGAGTACACTACACAGAGTGCAGAGTTCAGGAGTACACTACGCACAGAGTGCAGAGTTCAGGAGTACATACGCACAGAGTGCAGAGTTCAGGAGTACATTACGCACAGAGTGCAGAGTTCAGGAGTACACTACGCACAGAGTGCAGAGTTCAGGAGTACACTACGCACAGAGTGCAGAGTTCAGGAGTACACTACGCACAGAGTGCAGAGTTCAGGAGTACACTACATACAGAGTGCAGAGTTCAGGAGTACACTACATACAGAGTGCAGAGTTCAGGAGTACACTACGCACAGAGTGCAGAGTTCAGGAGTACACTACATACAGAGTGCAGAGTACAGGAGTACACTACGCACAGAGTGCAGAGTACAGGAGTACACTACGCACAGAGTGCAGAGTTCAGGAGTACACTACATACAGAGTGCAGAGTTCAGGAGTACACTACGCACAGAGTGCAGAGTTCAGGAGTACACTACGCACAGAGTGCAGAGTTCAGGAGTACACTACATACAGAGTGCAGAGTTCAGGAGTACACTACGCACAGAGTGCAGAGTTCAGGAGTACACTACGCACAGAGTGCAGAGTTCAGGAGTACACTACGCACAGAGTGCAGAGTTCAGGAGTACACTACGCACAGAGTGCAGAGTTCAGGAATACACTATGCACAGAGTACAGAGTTCAGGTGGGTACAACGTGTACAGAGTGCAGGGTTTAGGGGTGTGATGTGTACAGTGTGCAAGCCCAACAACACCACCCCCCCCCCCCAAAGCTTCCTCGCATTTCTACTTTCCTACCTGGCCCAGCTGGTACCTCCCTGTGTAGGCGGCTCTAGTACCAGTGTATTTGGCTCTAGTACCTCCCTATGTAGGTGTCTCTACACCCCGTGTATTTGGCTATAGAACCTCCTTGTGTAAGCAGCTCTGCCTCGCCTTGCAGGGAGATTGTTCTCTCTCTCAGATTCTGGAGATCTGTCTCCGCCATTACCTGCCATGAGTGCAAACAAGGGTCTGTTATATCTGGGAGTTGCTGAGAGCAAAGCTGTCCCTTGTGAACACAGAAGGCTTCTGTGGAGGGAGTGGAGGGTGAGAGCCGGAGGTGGTGGAATGGAGTTCCGCCATGTTCCAGATGCAAAACTAGGTGTGAGGGCCACATGATGAGACCTAGTGGGCCAGATTCGGCCTGCAAGCCTTGTGTTCGACATATGTGGCATACATGATTGGAAGAACTGAAATTCAATGAACAAAAGTGGAGAGCCATGGAGGGTAAGGTTGGAGTACAGTTCTAATCTCTAGTATTTCCCTGAAAATATACAGTCAAAATTAGTAGAAATACTCTGGTAGATTTTCTTCCTGTGTGTCCCAGTTGGGGGGGATTTCCTTCACTTCCTGTTCTAATGACTAAGGTCACCAACACAGGAAGTGAGAAGAAATAACTCCAACACTGACACAGATGGAACCAAAATACTTTTTTTTTAGTAGAGAAGGTAAAGCTAGAAACCCTGTCTGTCTGATTGTTGTCTGGGTCTCCTTTATTTTCCTGTGGTAAATCGCTCCAGAATGAGATTCAGACAAAATGAAAAGAAAAAAAACTGACAAAGATTGTACCATTCTCCCACTCTATTAATGCAGAATTAAATTCTAAAAATAAAAAATTGCTAGGAGGTAGGGATTTTTGGCAAACAATGCATGCAGGGTCTCTTCTGCCAAAAAACTTCTTCCTCTCCCCCTAGCAATTTTTTCATTTTCTATGTACACCAGCTTTTCTCAACCTTTTTATTCCAAGGAGATGACTAAACGTTCTGTCAATGCATAAATCAAGGAGATGCCTAAACAAAGTTGGCTCTGTCCTCCTGGAGAGAAAAACAGGTGAAGGCATTGTCAGGGATATCTCTGCTAAACACCTGGAAGTGTTAAACTTACACACTACTTATTGTCAGGTGTGAACTAGATTTAAAGCGTAGCTCCACCCAAAAGGGGAAGTTCCGCTTTAAGCCTTTGTCCCCCGCTCCCCATTAAGGATTGGCACCTTTGGGTACCCGAATTTGACAGATACTCGCTCCCACTTCCGCTGGACACGGACGTTGTCCTCCTACCCTCCCTCCCCGTAGTCTTGTGGGACACGTAACAGGTCCGAGAAGACTACGATGCCATTCACAAAGCCCAGCACTTCTCGTGCATGCGCAGTGGGCACCCGACTGTGAAGCCGCAAGATGTCACAGCCGGGTGTCCACACTGAAGATGATGGCGCCAGGGAGAGAAGACGGCCGGTGAAACCAGCGATTGTGAGGACACCGCTTGACTGAGGGGCAGGAAAGTGCTGTATTTTAAAAGTCAGCAGCTACAGTTTTTGTAGCTGCAGACTTTTATTTTTTTTTCCAGGTGGAACTCCACTTTAAACTGAGAAAAATAGAGGCAGTGCCTACCATGCAGCGTGTTCATTTATTTGAAAAAAAAAAAACGAAAAAATTGGATGAAAGTGGTTGTTGAGGTTACCCTGCAAAACTCAGTGAGGAGAGCTGATTGGAAGGAATAGACCCCCCCCCCCCTTTATACAGCTCACAGGAACAGAGCTGAGGCTGTCAATCTGCTGGAGATCCCTCCCCTGTCACCATCTTTTGGTGTCAGGAAAACCTGTCAGAAGTGATTCATGCTGAAGGCAGAAGAACAAAGCAACAGATAAAAATTATTATTATTTCAGGTAATTATATAGCGCCATCAATTTACGCAGCACTTTGCATGTGTATTGTACGTTCACATCAGTCCCTGCCCTCAAGGAGCTTGCAATATAAGTTTCCCAATTAACATTCATACATTGACATACTAGGGCCAATTTAGACAGGAGACAATTCCCCTACCAGTATGTCTTTGGAGTGTGGGAGGAAACCAGAGCACCCGGAGGAAACACACGCAGGCAAAGGGAGAACATGCAAACTCTGAGCAGGTAGTGCCATGGTTGGGATTTGAAGCAACGACTCCAGTGCTGCCAGGTTGAAAAACTAACCACTTAGTGACACAGTGCTGTTATTTCAGACAAGTACACACTATATGCTTTGTTCATATTTCATGTCTGAGGTTTACAATCACTTTAAAATATTTTGGAAAAAATCTAAATCAATTGACCTAAATATTCAATCATGAACATATTTCTGAATATTTTACATTAAAATGAAAAACTTACCTTGCCCATCTTGGGAACATCTTGGCTCCTAATGATTCTACTGAAGAGCTGAATGCCAAATTCTTCTAGTTTAAACGTGGTGATGTAACAGAACGCTGTGGAAGTAAAAGCATTTTATGACAACATAAAAACAATATACTATCTCAGGCAAGGAGTGGAAATCTTGAAACTTTGGTCTAACTTAGAAAAACCTCTCTGAATGGGATTTGGATAAACCTCATGGGCGGTCCTGCCTTTGCATGAGACTAGTGCACAATTAATGCCCCCCCCCCCCCCCCTAGTGGTCTAAATAAGTAATGCACCAAGTTAAAATGAGTTCCAGATCAGGCTTAGACATGAGCGAATATCTGCTTTGTCATCACTTCCCCGGATCTGTTTCTGCTGCCATAGGGGTTTGGATTTACCAATCTGCTATTTTCTTTATTCTACTTTTTCCTTTGCTCCCAATTATACCACCCCCATTAAAGTTGTATTAAACCCTCATTTTTTTAGCACAACACAATGAGCGCAGTAAATTAAACATTTCCCAGTAAGATTCTTATCCCAGCACTTAAAATTCACAACTTTGAATGCTGCTGACTCCTGCTCTCTAACCCCCGGTTCACATGTGTGCGGGTGATGCCGCTGCGGATCCGCACAAAAATCCGTGCAGCAGCAACCACCCACACAGAGGAATGCGGACCTGCGGGCGGGTGCCATTAATTCTAATGGCACACCACCCCCACTAGAAATCGCAACTGTACTGGGAACCTCGGTTCCCGTGCAGCCTGCATTTTACGAAGAAGTGCAGGGATTTCTTTCCTGCATGTCCAGGGGCATGGGAGATCATTCAAATGAATGGGCTCTCATGCCTGTGCAAAACGCGGCCCACAGGAACACGGAGATGTGAACCTAGCCTAAGTACAGCTTCCCTAAACATTTGGTGTTTACAGGAAAATGTTAACAGTTGACAAGGTAGTCTGGAGTAAGTTGGTTAGCTTTGAGAAAGAAGGGGGAGGAAGATCCACTTTTCTCCCCCCTTACCTAGGCTATGGGGTTGTGTGTTCCTATTGATGCACACAGTGCAGGGAGAGACAACTCTAGTCTCTGCATGCAAAAGTGGCTCCATAGGATTCTGTAAGAGAAAGGAGCCACCCTGAAAAAGGAAACCTGGGGCAGCAGCACGGGTGGACTGACAACTCATGGGGCCCCCAGGCAATTGGGGATCATGGGGCCCCTGTGTCCTTGCCCAAACTCAAAAATGCCTATGAAAAAGGTACCAGGGGCATCTCATGGGGCCCCCTACTGACCCCGGGCCCTCGGGCAGTGCCCAAGTTTCCAAATGGTCAGTCCACCCCTGGGCAGCAGTCATATCACCAGCTTAAATAGGAACACAGGAAAGGTTGAAAAATAAGTAAGCTGCATACTCAGTATGCTGCTGAAAGCACTTAAAAACTGAGAGCTTAATATCACTTTAAGGCCTCCTGCTGTATTTATCCCACCACATATGTGCATCAATCAGGGTATCCAGGGAGAACATCCCATGGGTTCAGCATGCACCACTGCTTATTCTAGTATTGTACAGTTATCAGAACAGTCTAGGCTTTTAGCATACAGTGAAACATACTGTATATATATATATAACACATTTCAGTAACTAGCTTCAGTTAGAAATAAACAGCTGAGTGCATAGAAAAAAAAATTTATACCCAGTTTATGGGTGTTCAAAAAGGAACCATGTTTAAAGTTGCTTGATAGGAGACCCTCACCAGGATTATCTTGGAAATACTCAGGGCTAAAAAACATATAAAAACTTAAGAAACGTAATTTAAAGGATGAGTTCACCTTTCGTAACACGGTACATGTTACACCCATATTCGGGTTGTAACAGGGTACGAAAGTACCGACCCCACAGCCCCTCATCCCCCAATGTGACAGCCAGCCGGGGATCTTCTCCCCCCACCAACTGTCACAATTTGAAAAAAAACATGGCTGTGCGGTGTCCGCCCACCCAGCTGTGTCAATCATTCACAGTGTTCTCTGAATGGAAAACAAGTCCCGACAGCCTTAGCGGCTGTCAGCTTGTAGTTCTTGATGACCTACCATGGTGCTGTGGTAGTTCATTGTGTCTTCCTGTCAGCATGTATCTGTCTGCTCATACCCCAGCACACAGATACACAAACAGGTCTGCAGCAGTCTGCTGATGCAATGCTTTACAGGCTTCTAAATGAAAAAATAGTAAATGCACATTTTTTTACCTGCAAAAAAAAAAATGCGTATTTATTATTTTTTGTAAAAAGGTGAACTTATCCTTTAACCCCTTGACACCGATCGCACACAAATATGCGGCCTCTCGGCGTCTGGGCCTTGACGACGAGCGGCTACATATTTGAGCGCAATTAAAAAATACATATGTGCTGAAAGCACGTGTCCTGCGCACTCCCAGCACATATGTCCGCTACTCCTGGAAAGGTCCCAATTTCCCCTTTCGATTGGGACCTTTTCTGATCATGTGACCGCTGTGATGGCAAATCACAGCGGTCACATGACCCTAAAACCCCGCCCCACCTCCTGAAACTCTTTCACACTGGAGCGCTTAAAAATGCGGTATGCATTTTGCAAATATGCATATGGTATTTTTGACACGTTTTCAATGTATTTTTGGTGCATTTTATGGATTCTTGACTCCCAGCATGCACCTGTGAAACTTGGACATATAACTAAAAAAATGCACTAAAAATGAGCCATGGCTGCATTTCCTATATAAATCAATGAGAAGTGCATTTTTGGTCCAAAGATGCAGCATTCAGGTCTTTTCAAAACATAGCACAAATGCAGTGCAGCAATGTGAACAGTTACATGGGATTTAAAGGGGAACTGATTTTCCTGTGCTTTTGTTGCGCTGGAAAGGTGTGTTTTTAGGGCCAGTTCACACCAGAACGCGGTGCCAGAAACCCACGTTCCGTGCACGTTTCCCACACTGTGTTCAATCCACACTGCCTTTGCGATTGTGATACGTTCCTGTGTGATTCATGGTGTGAATCAGCCCTTAGCGCAGCAAAAGCGCACCAGTGTGAAAGGGACCCAACCATAAACAGAGCTGCGCTCTTGCCTGGGATTCTGAAAAAACATGCCCTGTTAGTGACCGCCGAGGACTGGAACTGGGAAACACTGTGGTTATTAATAATACAGGCTAGTTATGGACATGGTGGCTGGGTAGGGAATATTCTCACTAATAAATCTAGCCATAAACCCATAGATGTTGGCCTGGGAACCGAACAAATGACATCTAACAAATTCCTTTGTCCATGCTAAGAAGCACTCTGTGTCTGTGTGTTTACGCAAGTCTCAGTGTACCTGCATACAACCGCATCCTGTCATTTTCTTATATTGGAAGCCCTACAAAGTAGCTGTGGCTCCCTTCGAAAATTTCTGGTCTCATTTGCATGGGTGTACTACGGCACATACCTGTGCAGGGGCCATGTTTATCCATCACAAAGATGCACAGGTGTGTCACTGATGTGTTTTGGGACTCAGTGACTGCATTAACACAGCTTCTGCTCCCAATATGTCTGTACATGTGGGGTTTCATTGCCCCGAATGCAGACAGTCTGTGCTCAGGGCCATGGAGCCACACAGATCTCAATTTTGGAGCTGAGGCTGTAGTATGCCTGTGTGAACAAGGCCTTGCACAGGTTCTGTATGTTCTTGCATGCCATTTAACCCACTTGCCGCTGATTGCATGAGCCCTAAAAATCTCTCTTTTCTTTACAACATTCAGCCCTGTATTTACATAGGGACAACTTTAGTTTTGTGTGATTCTGGGTTTTCTCTAGTCTGTTGCACTGGTTTAATACAGTAGATATTGTAATAGTGACACGTACCAAGATACAAAGAGTGCTCTGACTTTAAAGAATTCTTCCCATCTCTGGCATAGAAAGCGTCAACAACGATGTCCAACAGATCTCTGTACTGTACACATCCAGAGAGCACTTCAAGAACAAACTCTTCTTCGGTGTCATTAAGTTCCTAAAAGAAATGATGTGATAATATTATGGTCAGTGACTAAAAGTGATTCTGTTGCTATTTTTTTATGCTGCAAAAGAAGATATTTTTTATTCCAGTGAACTATGCTTTCTTGAAGAGAGGGGTTTACGTTCAAATTGGGCCCTGTAAGGAAATGTATCTTTTTAACTGGCATCCATTTTGTATAATGCCTCAATTTCTAGATGTGTAAACAGTTAGTTTCGGTTTGGAGTTTTGCTTGTAACTTCTCTCTCGTTTCCTGAGAATAGTTTCTATTTCACTGTAAATGGATTCACCTTATATGGTATCCCTCAGCCATTTGTAGTTTCTGTTCTTCACGCAACTATCCTGATAAGAGTAGAATGTTTAATTGGTCATCCTGAATTAAGCAACGCCTATTGAGTTCTCTATAACAGTTCTTGTCTTGCATTAAACTTTCAGAGATACAGCTTTTACACTTCGGTGTCTGGAGCTTTATTTCTCCTGGATCCAGAGGTAAAAATAATCGAGGACAAGTTTGGGCTACAAACAGAAACTGATCCTATCTATTTTGGTGTCAGAAGTGGGATCAATGCCTACCAAACCTTGAGGCCCTCGCTAGTTTCCTCTCCTGCTCTGGATTTAGCAAATTACAATGTTGATTTACATGTGTACGCTCGTGACAGTTGTAAAACTACAGTGGCTGTGGTCACTCAGGATCATAGAGGACACATGAGACCAGTAGCCTAAGTAGTGCCAAGTCCGGTACAGGGCATGCTAGCATGTCTGAGAGCCCTGGACGTCTGTGCCATCCGGTGGAGGACGCAATGAGTGTGAATCTGGGACAAAAAACTATCCTTCTCACTGCCCATCATGTACTGCATGTCCTTAAGAATTTTACTACACAGCACAAAGGGCAAGTGGTTGTGAAGTGATTATGACATCAACTGCTAATTTGGAAGTGAAATATGCAGGTTTTAACTCAGGTCCCTTAGCTTTGCTAAATTGTTTGTTAGGGATAAAGGGTGAAACTGATAATCCCCCTGGGTAACATGACTGTGTTCAGGTAATACATGAGGATACCACTCCCAGATTAGACAGGTAGCAAAAAGGGTTGACATTAGACGCAAATGGTCTAATGTCAAAAGGGAGGTATAATAGGACTTCCACGTCACAGTGCTCAATTCTATGGCATAGGACATCGGGGTTGGTAGGTAGTGAGAGATGAAATAAAGAATAGATTCTTTGCAAAGGAAGTCATCCCTCAATGGGGATGTCCAGTAAGTATAGACTCGGGCATAGGACCAGCATTTACCTCAAAGGTTACACAACAGGTAGCCAAACTGACGAGCATTGACTGGAAGTTCCACATACCCTACCACCCACAGAGTTCTGCTCAGGTAGAATGGGCAAATAGGAACCTGAAGGAAAAATTAAGGAAGGCAACAGGTGAGACATTTAAAAGATGGCAGGTGTACCTGCCAGCTGTTCTGACTGAGATGAGGATGACACCTAATAATGTCACTAAACTTTCCCCTTTTAAAATTTTCATGGGCAAGCCATTCCCCACACCTGGACAAGAGACCCTTTGGTAGTTATGCCAGGTGATTTAGAATTATTCCAGGAAAGATATGTCCAGGAATTGATTAGGGTGTTGAATGGTGTATACAGTGATGTCTCTCGTTTCCTTTTTCCAAGATGATCCAACCCACCCATACAAGCCAAGAGATCGGGTAGTGGTTAAGGAACTTCATAGACACAAGACCATAGATCCACCATACGGGGAACCCCCATAGTGACAGCTGTGATGAGAACTGCTGTTCTGACTGCTGATTCCAACGACTGGATACATGTTTCTAGAGTAAAGAGGATCCCGGAACCACAAAGAACCAGGAGCAACAGACGAAACAAGAAAAGGAGACAGACCTATCAACGCCCTCCAATCTTCAGGATGCTGCTTCATCTAGAGGTGGCTTGGAAGAACTTTTTTTTAGCAACACAAATACAGAGAGTTCAGGGAATAAGTGCTGACACTGTAACAATTAGTGCTTTGCCTAACAGCTGTTTTTCTTCAAGATAGGTATAGCCCAGGGTAAGGGCCCTCTGACCAACATTCCTAAGCCTCCACGTAAAGTGTTAAGTAATATTGCTAAGAGAAAGAAAAAGAAAAAAAAAAGTAAGACAAAAAAATCCTGAATTGTCTAGGTTAACTTGTAAGGAATATGTGATAACATTACACATTCACACAGGTGTACTGATCTGTATATGTGTGCAAAGGGCCGTCTACCCACACGGGAGGCGAGGGTGTTCTCTGCAGGCAGCCTGTTCAAATCAATGACAGGATGGCGGCTGACCAAATCTCCCAGCGTATCCCCGAGTGTACATGTGTGCGGGATCAATGCATCCATCAGAACACAGAATGCTAATATTATAGAAAATTGATGTCTTTATACCAGGGATGTCAAGGACAACAAAACTGCCATTTAAGACGCAGAAAATCTTTTTCTTTTTTAAATGTATTCTGCTGTCATATTTCTGAATCTTAAAATGTGCAAATATCTAGAAATACATGCAATAAAAATGCGTTTAGGTATTGCTAGATTTGTAAAAAAAAATAAAAATAAATTATTTTAACCACTTCAGTACTAGGCACTTTTACCCCCTTCCTGCCCAAACCAATTTTCAGTTTTCAGCACTGTCACACTTTGAATGACAATTACACGGTCATGCAACACTATACCCATGTGAAATGTTTATCATTTTTTTGAGACAGACAGCTTTCTTTTGGTGATATTTAATCACCACTGGTCTTTTTTGATTTTGAAATGAAACAATGCAGGACATTTTGAAAAAAAAAAAAAAAGGTTTTCTTAGCTTCTGTTACAAAATTTTGCAAAGTAATTTTTCTTCTTCAATGATGTGGGCTGATGAGGCTGCACTGATAGGCATTGGTGAGGCTACACTGATGTGCAGTAATGAAGCTGCACTAATGGGGCGGTAATGATGGGCATTGATAAGCTGCGCTGATGGGCACTGATGGGAACTTACTGGCCCTGATGGGGCTGCACTGATAATCAGGGCACTGATGATCAGTGTCTTGATTCTGCTTATCAGTATAAATCATGTACTGACAGCCATGCCGGTTATAGGCTTTCCTTTCCTCACACAGACACAGCGTGTGAGGAAAGGTCTGTTTACATGTGATCTGCTGTGATTGAACACAGCTGATCACATGGTAAAGGGACACTGTGATTGGCCCTTTGCCCCAATCTGTGATTAGCTGCGTCAAAAGGACACAACAGTCACACAGCGCGCCCCTGGGGCGTGCAGGGGGCGGGGTTCTGGGAGGATGTCCATGGATGCCTTCGAAGAACAGGACAATTGCACTGTAGCCATCTTTTGGCTGTAGCGTGTCTGGCAAGTGGTTAATCTCTATCATGTATCTCAGGGCAAATATAACATATGCAGTACATCTCTGAAATACATGATGTATATTCCTCCATGGTAATTATATAATTACATAGTTGGTAAGGCTGAAAAAAATAAACAGGTGCATTCAGTTCAACATATGTCTGTGTAACTTTTATTCTCTAATAATTCTATAGAAGTACCTATAATCAATAAATAAATAACTAAAATTCCCATAGCCCTGTATATTATTCTTCCTGAGGAAGATATCTAAAAGTTTTTTGGTTGATGACACTTTCAGCTAGGACCACTTCCTGGGGGAGGTATTGGGTTGAACGAAAAAAGTGACTCCATTCCCCCATCCAATACATGCAATGTGGATGGGGGAATCACTCCCGTTGGGGTATTGTATTCTGACAGCGGGGAGACTGTCAGTTCTGTGAGTTCTCTTTTGGGACCTTAAGGCGCCTTTCATATGTTCCGATCAGGTCCGCTTGGACGGACGGTCCATTTATCTCTATGAACTGGCAGATGTAAACGGACTCGCCTATCTCCGATCCGGTCCTCTAAAACCAAACAGAAGGGGATTCATTCTCCTCTGTGTAGGTGGATTAGGATCAGAGGGCAGTCGGTGGTAAACGGACAGTCAGTCTTTTTGCACCAGCTGCCCATAGTGCAGAGTGGGATCTGTCCGTGTCCACTCTGTATAAACTGAGTGCACATAGACCTGTCATCCATCCGCTCTGCTCAGCAGGAGATCAGCGGACAGATCTACTGCTGATCAAAACAGAGTTAGCCCCGTGTGAAAACAGTAAACAGTTTATTACAGTTAGGGCCCACGGTGCAGTTCCTGTGCAATTCCCTTGCAGTTCCATTTCAGCCCCTTCATTTTGAATAGGCTGAGATTGCGCTGATCCGCACCAACTCTTGGAAACGCACTGCAACCGTGTTTTGCAACCGCATTTGGGGGGTTGTTAACTTTGCACCGATACCTGCTGCAAGGGCAGTGAAATTAGAGCGCTGAGTGGGAAACTGGCACGGAATGAGGGTCCCTCATACCGCGTTTTACTGTGAACGGGATCTTACTGAAGTAATTTTGATATAACAAAACACGTTTAACAGAGCAAACAAGACAAGTTCATTGTTAGGGTTTACATACACATACAGGAATATCAAAGCTTGGCAATGGGTGGCAGTGCTCAGTAAAATTCCATACGCAGTCCTTTGCCAGCTTGTACAGAGTTCCATTGCAAAGGGTTTCTTTTCTTTAGTATACTATATGTGTTGAAAAGCATTTTGCACATCAGTGGGCATCAATGTTCCCAAGAAGGACCCTTCGGCTTTAGTAAATTAGGCCCCTAGTGTGTCTACTGGCACACATCATATTTTGGCTGCTCAGGCCGGATGCTCCATGTGTCCACGTTTCACTTTTAGCCTCACATTAGAAAGAAATGACAGCACGCTGTAATTAGCTGACATACATCACCATGGGCCCAGTACCTGACAAAGTGCTGATGAAGTGGATTAAACATCTGTCATTACACAAAGAAATACTCCGAGTTCCTCAGACGGAGGGTGATTCAGATGTTCGTCAGGATTTCAATTATATCTCAGGATTTTCTGGTGACAGATTTATGGTTCCAAATTATATCTATTTGACATTATAATATCTGATCTTCAACTCCCAAATTCTCTGTAAGTGAGACTAGAGCTCAGGCTTCAAGTGCACAATTAAATGACTCATTACAAATGTCATTCTAAAGCTGGCAGACAGTCAAGAACTACTGGAAAGGGAAGATGAGCTCCCGCTCTCCCTCTTCTCCCTCTCTATACTGTTCTCTTCCTTTTCTCTCTCTCATGCTTTTTCTCTCTACCGTAAAATGGTTCTAACATCTAAAAGTTCTAAACATTCATTCATATTTTGCATTAAGGTAAAAAACACCCACTATATATATCTTTCCTAGCCCCCCTTATCCCTGAACACTTACCTGGCTCCTGTCACCACTCTGGCGCTGTTGCTGGCTCCAGCAGCACTCTCCTCTTGTTCTGCTTTCAAAGGAGAAATTGAGAGCAGTAGAGCCATAGGCTCCTGCTGCTGTCAGCCAAGCTCCTGTGAGGAGGGATCATGGGCATGGCCCTACCAGCGCTGTGTGTGTCTATGGACGCACACAGCCTGGCTTGGTAGTGTGTGTGCACAGGTACCTCCATACATGGCTGCTGTTAGAAACCATGGGGCACCTTACAGCCAACCTGACAGTGCAAGTGAGTTAGGGACCTTAGATTGTAAACTCCTCGAGTGCAGGGACTGATGTGAATATACAATATGTAAAGTGCTGCATAAACTGACAGTGCTATATAAAAACCTATAATAAAATAACTAAATACATGTGCATATCCCTTCGCTGTCACACATTCCTCTCTCAATCGCTCTATAGAACTCACCTTCGGCCTAGACCAGGGGTCTCCAAACTATAGCCCTCCAGGTGTTGAGGAACTGCGAGTCCCATGAGGCCTTGCAAGACTCTGACAGCCACAGGCAAGAATCCCAGAGGCAGAGGGATGATGGGACTTGTAGTACTCAACAGCTGGATGGCCATAGTTTGGAGACCCCTGGACAATATAAATGGTCAGTATGTAGTGACATTATTCCCAGTGTTGCAGGCATCAAAATACAGCTTGGTCCCAGGATAAGCTTCAAATGCCTATCTGAATAAGCCCCATCATAGAGTAGGATATGGCACTATAAAATCTAGAGCAGCACATAATTTGAACTACCAGAGGCTACAACGGTTCCAAACCAGAATGGCCGTCTGAAGCTCAGCAGTCCACTTCATGTGTATGGGGGGTTGTATGCTGCACCATGGCAGGGGAATTATGCCAGTATTTACATTAAATGGGGTCCGTCACCCGTGTGCAGGGATCCTATAACTCCAAACTGGTATAAGTTTTTTTTGGCTAACACTAAGTGCTGATTCACACATGTGCAGTGCAGATTGAAGCTCAGGTCTCACAGCTAATTGATACAGTAGTTGTTCAGCAGTTCAGGTCAGGTTTAGATCAGGTTCAGGTCAGGATTTTCACAACTGATGACATGTGCAGTTTAGAAACAGTTCCCATAGAAGTCAATAACCTGTAATCCGCACCTGAAACGGACCGCACTGCTAAGAAATTGTACATGACTCTTTCAATCCGCACTGACCGCGCACCGGACATATGTGAACAGGTACCATAGGAAGCAATATTATTTCACATGTCATGTGGGTTGGATGCGGTTCAAACCACATCCAATCCACATATATGTGAACTGGCACTTAATCTGCTTAATCGGTCAACATTTGAACCACGGGTGGTCCTGTCTTCTAGCTCAACAAATTTCACATGAAAAATTCAAGGAGCCAGGTGAAAAATGGTCATCCAGACAGTGACTATATCCTATCAGATGTGGTCGCTGTTCAGGTAGTCAGAAAGCCACGAGTGCTGGGGTATCACAATACAATAGCCAGTAATGGAGATTCTCCATCCATGCATGGATGAAAGAATCTGTTAGGCCTCGTTCACATGGGCATGCTATAGTGTATATCCGTGCGAAGGCTGTATTTACGCACATAGGTGTTCCATGAATCCCTGTGCAGGCAATCCCTTTCATGTTGATTGGGATGCAGTATCTGCATGGACACAGCCGTTGCTCCCAACTGCAGACAGTGTACTTTTGGGGATGCGCACCCGCATGGATGCCAAGTTAGGAGCAACGGATGTGTCTATGCAGCCAATGGGTCCCAAATGACATGAATGTATCTGCTTGCAAGGGGATCTTCGGAAGGAATAGGCAACCTTAAAGAGGTGGGGTTCTACCTGAACAACAGAAGAAGTCAAAGATCACCGGGCACAGTGTTGGCAATACTACCGTGTCACAATCGTGTACATTGCACAGCAATCATGGGTTTAAATCAGGTGATGAGGAGGCAACATAGACTTAGCAGCATCCTAAGGGCTTGTTCACATGTGAAGTTGGGGGGGGGGGGGGGTGTAAAACCCTGTGGTTGAATCACAGTTTTACCACCCCCCCCCCCACTCCCTACCCCCTACACATGCTGCACCAGGAATTACACCCACTGTTGCTTTTGTTGGGTGCTACCACCTGTCAACCAAGACCCATTCTTCAAGTATATGGGCAAGTCTGCAAGTGCCGTGCAACAGCATGCTTCAGTGGGGTCCAAGGGCTTAAAGCAGGTGGTGAGAAATCAACACACCAACACACCGCTGTTTGTTTAACCCCTTGTTTGCTGTACTGCACAATGTTGCAGGGCAATTGCAGAGCGGCCTCATTCACTTGAATGGGTCATACTTAGCAGGTGACATGACAGGACGTAGGAGCATCAACTTACATGGATCTTGCTCCAGACTACAGCTCCAACTTTACAAGTAGTCCCTCTGCATTGCACACTGTTTGATGCTCTGGGATGGCGGGTCAGCAAGCTCAGACCGAGGTCTACCAGTCACCTGGCCAAGATATACTGGCAGATCCTGATCTACTGGTTGCTGACCCCCCGATCTACGGTGTACACTGCAGTACACTCAAGAGAACAAGTACTTAGACTTGGGTTGAAGAGGAAAAATGTATGCGTGTATAGCTTTATGTTTTATGTAAACACAGTAACATAACAACATACTACATCTAGAAATTCTACCTGAGGCTTTATGTATACAAGTGTGAGCCCATATGACCTATTCAGACTATTTTGGGTACACACATATACATTTTTTTTTGTGTTCATTCTGCAGACTGAAGAAAAATCTAACAGATGCCCCCATCCAAGCTATATAGCATGGATGGAGGAATCTCCTGTTATTGTATTATGACAGCCGGCCTCACCAGCTGTCAAAATCCCTGAACAGTGCCTGCATCTAATTGGATGCAGGTACTGTTCAGCCAACAATTTTCTGCCCAGGTCCTTCAATTTTTCAATCGAGAGATTCAGATGAGAGGTGGCCACCCACTACCTGCCAATTCATCAGGAACCAGTTGCAATTCACTCCAGGTATGGCCAGCTTTATTCACACTAATGACAAATAACAGTATGAGGTCAGTACACCATCACTGTTTCACGCTGGTACTAAAAGAGACATTCATATTTAAAGTGCATATCATCACAGAGGATTACTTTTCTGTGCCATGACCTAAAGCATAGATCTACAGGAGATTCAGTAAAAAGCTGAATGAGACTATGACAGGTGAACAGGTGGGAACTCTATCACCAAACGTGGAATATCTGTTGATGTACACAGGTAGGGATTAGTGTACTGCCTATGTCAGTCATATTTTTACTCCTAGTCTGACCCCACATCACACTGTTCAGCAGCAAAGTTGAAGCCATCAGACAGGGAAATGGCGTAGACTGTCTTACCTGCAAGTTTTCCGCCGAGTCTTCCAAGAAATGTTCAAGACTCTGATTTTCCGCATTATATTTGTTCAAAAGATGGACTATCAAGTTAATGCATTTCCCATAATTAGTCATCTTCCTCTGCAGCTTCCTGTTAAATGGATGAAGTAGACAATAAAGGACTCCAAGCAATGTAAAGAAAAAATAATGCTTGCTTTAACACCCAAACCCTTACTGTAAGCAGGTGCCGGGTGGTTATGGCACGGCTCCATTTACTTGAATGGGTTGCCTTAGGCAATGGTACCACCTGGTGAAAGCAACTTGCCATCTTATTATTGTGCAGCAGCATGCCTACTGTCCTGAACTGCTGCATGCCCTAGTTTAAGTGGGCAGTCAGGGGGGGGGCAGTAAAACTGCAGCTCAACTGTCTGCTTTTCTGCCCTTCTCGACCCCTGCATAAACAAGCTCCAAAGTATAAATGCAGGCTGATATAAAATACTGCAGTTTAATCCAGTTATGTAAGATTTAAAACAGGACTTTACGTATGTTGTAAGTCAGGGATCTCCAAAGTTTTCAGTACAAGGGCCACATCATGTATCTAACAAATATTCACAGGCCAAAAACCTCCTCATCAGAGTTCCCCCTTACATAAGGGGTCCTATCAGAGTCCCCCTTACACCAAGGTCTCCATCAGAGACCTCCTTACATCAGGGTCCCTATCAGAGTTCCCCATACATCAGGGTCCCCATCAGAGACCACCTTACATCAGGGTCCCTATCAGAGTTCCCCATACATCAGGGTCCCCATCAGAGTCCTCCTTACATCAGGGTCTCTATCAGAGGTCCCAATACATCAGGGTCCCCATCAGAGTTCTCCTTACATCAGGGTCTCTATCAGAGTTCCCCATACATCAGGGTTCCCATCAGAGTCCTCCTTACATCAGGGTCCCTATCAGAGTTCCCCATACATCAGGGTCCCCATCAGAGACCACCTTACATCAGGGTCCCTATCAGAGTTCCCCATACATCAGGGTCCCCATCAGAGACCACCTTACATCAGGGTCCCTATCAGAGTTCCCCATACATCAGGGTCCCCATCAGAGTCCTCCTTACATCAGGGTCTCTATCAGAGTTCCCCATATATCAGGGTTCCCATCAGAGACCACCTTACATCGGGGTCCCTATCAGAGTACCCCATACATCAGGGTCCCCATTAGAGACCACCTCACATCAAAATCCCTTAATTAGGGTCTGCAGAGTCTCCCTTTACATCAGGGTCCCCATTACAGTTCTCCTTACATCAGGGTCCCCATCAGAGACCACCTTACATCAGGCTCTCTATCAGAGTTCCCAATACATCAGGGTCCCCATCAGAGTCCTCCTTACATCAGGGTCTCTATCAGAGTTCCCCATACATCAGGGTTCCCATCAGAGACCACCTTACATCGGGGTCCCTATCAGAGTTCTCCATATATCAGGGTCCCTATCAGAGTCCTCCTTACATCAGGGTCCCTATCAGAGTACCCCATACATCAGGGTCCCCATTAGAGACCACCTCACATCAAAATCCCTTAACTTAGGGTCTGCAGAGTCTCCCTTTACATCAGGGTCCCCATTACAGTTCTCCTTACATCAGGGTCCCCATCAGAGACCACCTTACATCAGGGTCTCTATCAGAGTTCCCAATACATCAGGGTCCCCATCAGAGTCCTCCTTACATCAGGGTCTCTATCAGAGTTCCCCATACACCAGGGTTCCCATCAGAGACACCTTACATCGGGGTCCCTATCAGAGTTCTCCATACATCAGGGTCCCTATCAGAGTCCTCCTTACATCAGGGTCCCTATCAGAGTACCCCATACATCAGGGTCCCCATTAGAGACCACCTCACATCAAAATCCTTTAACTTAGGGTCTGCAGAGTCTCCCTTTACATCAGGGTCCCCATTACAGTTCTCCTTACATCAGGGTCCCTATCAGAGACCACCTTACATCAGGGTCTCTATCAGAGTTCCCAATACATCAGGGTCCCCATCAGAGTCCTCCTTACATCAGGGTCTCTATCAGAGTTCCCCATACATCAGGGTTCCCATCAGAGACCACCTTACATCGGGGTCCCTATCAGAGTTCTCCATATATCAGGGTCCCTATCAGAGTCCTCCTTACATCAGGGTCCCTATCAGAGTTCCCCATACATCAGGGTCCCCATTAGAGACCACCTCACATCAAAATCCCTTAACTTAGGGTCTGCAGAGTCTCCCTTTACATCAGGGTCCCCATTACAGTTCTCCTTACATCAGGGTCCCCATCAGAGTCCCCCTTACATCAGAGTCTCCCTTTACAGCAGGGTCCCCATTACAGTCCCTCTTACATTGGGGTCCCCATCAGAGTCCCCATTTAAATCAGAAGCAAAAACCAAAGGTAGCCTCTGCTCACCTTTATTCTCAATCAGTGCACATTGAGGATATGCCACCTACCCTAGCTGGGGGCCAAATAAAATCTTGTAGCAGATGTAGCCCGTGGGCCGTAGTTTGGAGACACCTGATCTAAGTGAATTGCATAACTGGCTGAACAGAATTATAAATATCACGGTGGGTAAAATACGTCAAATATATATCTTTTAACGGTGTATTGTTTGGCTGCAGATCAGCTCGCCTGCTACAGCGTGTACAATCAACAGTACTAATATTTTATTGAATCTTTGGTATAATAAAGAAATAAAATCAGCATGCCGGTGTTCTCAGTGGTTTAATTAAGCAGGCTTTGTCTTTCCTGTAATAAATATAACAGCTTTACCCTATGACGACAGTCATGCTCATTGATTCAGTTTGCAATCTTGATGCACTTCGTAATGTACTTTATAAGTGTCTGATACCAGGCTGTGCCGCATAGCAGGTAATGAGATGCAGAACGATCGCACTGAATAATGATACAAGACCTGCAGGGAAGAATGGTGATCTCAGGCTCAGGTGACCTGAAATGCCACTACATGCTACTAATTTTATGGACCTATTTGCACAAAGCGGCACTGTTCGGTGATGATGACCACATCACAAAGTTCACGTAAATGGCTGCTATGAACCCTTGAAGATTAAATTGTTTTCTTGGCCTTGTGAAATGTCAGTGCTGCTAAATATCAAGTGCTGAAGTCATATAAAGGATGAGTGATTATGTCAGTAGACAAGGTTCAGGATAATGTGTGAAAATTGGAGTAGTCTCAATATTGTAAACCTGTAGTCAAGAAAAATGTAATATACCACCAGATCCTTACTGGAGGGCTGAAACAATTCCCAGTCGCCTGGTCGCCGCCAGGGTGAAAAAAAACTCTCTTGCGACTGGGTCATTGAGAGATATTGCCAGTGGGGAGGAGGGTGCTGAAATGCCAAAGCTATTGTTAAATAAATCCAGCACTGCCAGAGAATGTAGCAACTAATGTGACGGTTTTGACAGCCGGCATTGCACAAGACAGACTGAGCCGAGTCCTGCTGGCTAGTGACATGGGCTCAGTCTGTCTCACGCAACACGGCTGTCAATACAGTTATATTAGCTGCTAAATTCACACACTGTGCCGGCTATGCCAAACAATAGCTCTGGCATTTCAGCCAGGGCTGCTGTTATAAACCACGGGGCCCCATACAGCCAACCTGACAGGTCCCCTTCTCCCCCAAGAAAAACAGTTTACTAAGCTTCAGTTATGAATGAACACAGTGAGTGATTGATACTGATCACTCATTGTGATCATCAGTAAAGGAAGGGGCTGGTAAATGTGACATATTTACCGAACCCTTCCCCCGTTCTCCATCCTGAAGCATCCTGTTGTGTACTTGCAACTGCTGGTGGTAAGGAGAGGAGGGAAGCCGGCAGCACTGAAGGGGTGAAGACACACGGTAAGGGGAGGCTGGGCAGCAGGGGGAAATGTATGGTGCAAAGGGAGGGAGATAGGTGCAATGGAAGGGAAATTACTGGAATTAATCCCCTGTATGGCTCTCTCTGCAGCAGCTAAAAACCAGCGGGAGGGAGAGGAGAAGCCGGTTTTCAGCTGCTGCAGAGGGAGCCATACAGGGGAATGGTTCCAGTAATTGCCCTCCACCCCCCCCCCCCAACCACATCTGAATCAACCAGCTGCCAGGGCCCCCTCTGGCCTGGGCCCTATACAGGAGGACTGGTGGTACCCATTTATCCAGGGCCCTGATTTCAGCACCCGTCAGTAACTATATAAGCATCATCCCAATGCCAAATGCTCCCTCCCCTTTTTCATTAAGATAATCATCCGTCAACTCACCACTTCTAAGCTGCCCGATTGTTCCATTTTCTTGGTTGCTAGCCAGGTGCCAAGCCCAGGAACCTGTTTCCACTCCATATAACACTCACCTCCAAACAACAGACTGCATACCAATGATGTTGCTTTATCCAACAAAGTTTACTTGACAAACAGCACACTCTGCGCCCATCTATCTTCGGGCCAACACTCTAACACGTTTCAGTCATCCAGGGCTCAGTCTAAGTCCCGGATGAGCGAAACAAGATAGAAGGGCAGCAGAGGTGGAAGGATGCGTGCTGTCTGACAAATAAACTTTGCTGAATCAAGTGATATCATTGGTGCACTCCTCCTGTTTATGTTCATATTTGTGAATTCTAGGACCATGACTTGTTTTCGTTGTAGGAAATGGGTGCAGCTACCCCAATACAGGCAAGCCATAGAATGAGTGTGTGGGGGGCAAGAGTGCCATCTTTCAGCCTACTGGCCTTCTGTTATAAACCCCCCTCTTCTTTTCGAGCACTCTGCACTAAATTCATGCATCCAGGTAAATGAATTAAATGCTGAACACTAGGAGAACCAAGTACCAGAGCTCCAGGATCTGCACAGAATAGTAGGGGTACAGAACTGAACACTAGTGATTTTTTTTCACATAATAATTTCGCTTTTACATTTTTTAATTATTTTACGATATATATATATATATATATATATATATATATATTTTTTTTTTTTTTTTTTTTTTTTTTTTTCATTTAACTGCTATCACAATGGTTCCAAAAAGCCCTTTTTTTGTGACAGCTGTGGGCAGGTGACAGGTACTTTTTATGGAGGCAGCAGGGATCTATTAAACCCCCAATTTCTCCTCTGCCCTCCAAAGCGCTGTAGCAGCCAG